CCCCAAAACCCCAAAACCCCTATAGGCAGAATTAAATGAATAAGTAAGGAGTTTAAATTAAAGATTAGCATTATATATTGAGTTTTGGCAGTATATTTTTGCTAATCAATGAGTGATCTTTAAAGAGACTGCCTTGTTTTACATTACAGTCACTCACTTTTCTGTTTGTAGATAGTAGTATGACTTCATTATCTTTTGCCGAATAATAGTCCTGGGTTTTAAAACAGTCCAGTAACTGTTTTCTTAAAGCTTGATAAGTAAGATGAGGAAACACCACTTGGTTCGTTTTATTAAGGTTGATAAAAGTGCATTTCTTATTCTTATTCTTCGACTTTCGAAGGTTGTCTGCTAAAAGTAGAGAAACCGTGCTTGCTCAAGTTGTATTTAGTTTTAGAAAGCCTTCTGTTTCTAACAAACATATCACCTCTTTTCAATACTGGCAATGGGTAGTTAGTGGCACTTGGCATAAGATTATATCCCTTAAGAGTGTTAAGATAATGATGAGGTGAAATTCTGTGTAAATCGTATCTATAACTGGTTTCATCATTTCTCTTATCAGCAAGATCTGGTCTCTTCATTATAGTAGTACGAGCTGGCACGTATTAGTTTCCAAATCTCTGTTTGAAAGGAGTACCACCGAAGTTCCATAGATTTGTAACCTCCTCTATTGCATCGATAAGTTTGTACCATTTCTTTGCAAGTAAGAAACTAGAAACTCTTTTTTGGTACTGAGTCAGTAGAAGTTGATCGAAGAACTCAGTGTTAACAAATTCATTAGTCATGGCGTTATCTGGGTGAGGAAGATTCATTGGTAATTGCCTGTTTTTAGCTCTGTAATCCATGCTGTTAACATGCTAAAGATATGTGTAGATAGCTATTTCTTTAAACTCTCCATACTCACAAGCTCTGTTCACTATAGAAAAAATCATTTAAAATCAGAGTGATAGTTACTTTCGCTATGATAGTCTTCGATAGTTGCCTCTGGGTGTACAAATCTGTAGTTCTCAAAGTTTTCATACTTTCTGAATGGAAGAGGATATCTGCAAGCTGCGGCATTAACTTCGTCTTTCAATCTCTAAATTTCTTTGTGGGAAAGAATTAGATCTGGACCATTACCGATAGTCTTGTAACTTTATTCTGACTCTAACAATTTTTCATAAGGATCTTTTATGATCTCCTTCTTTTTATGCCTCAAATTGGGCCTTACTCTACCATACTTCTCCTTTAAGAGAGCAGAATACTTCTCAATAAACTTGTCTCTTTCCTCGTCATTCTGGTATTCTAATTCTTCAGCAGCTGCCATGAATTTCTCAAGGTCCTCCTCTGTAATTTTCTTCGCTAATTCTTCATCAGCCTCAGATTCATCTGAATAGTCCGTAAATCTGCCATCAGCAGTCACTGGCTTGTTAGGAATAGGTTATCCATATTCATCATACTCAACCTTTTATTCCTCTAATGCCTCAGCTGCAAGATCTCCTTCTTCTTTTCCTAGCTCAGACTCAAGCAATTCCTTTTCTAGCTCACCATCGATTTCTTGTTAAATATCATTGAAGCTGCTAAGATTAACGATATTTCCATCTTCATCAAATCTAAGAGCTCCCCATCTACTTTGCTTGAAGAATTTCTTGAGTTTTCTAACGGTAAAGCCTCCATCTTTACCGTAAAAAGCTCTAGCCATGTTAATTCTGTTTTCAATCAAGAATTAAGCAAAATCATTTTGCTATTCGAAAAGATCTTCAGGCTCGGCTTCTGACTCCCCTGATGAGAAATCTGAGGATTCATCTTTTTCTAAATCAGAAGTATCAATGTCATCTAGTTCATCTCCTCTCTTGAGAGCTTCTCTCTCTTCCTTGGTGAGAGCTTTGTGCTTTTTCATGGCTTCGATACCAGCTCCCTCATAGTAAAGGTCTCCTCTGATTTTCTTCCTCAACAGAGCAACATCATCTTCTGAATCGGTATCTGTTTCTTCAGACTACTCCACACCATTTAAGTTCTGTGTTTTATTATCCTCTTCAGACTCAGATGAAGACTCAGATGAAGATGAAGACTCTGGAACGGCTTTGATTGTTTTACCTTCAGCTAGATCCTTAGTTCTTTATAAGTCTTCTTGAATATATTCCTCAAGTTATACCATAGTAAGCCTTTGATCCTCGTCACACAATTGCTCTAATCTTATGAAAATTTACTCTAGAAGCTGTCTCTCTTCAGCTGGTTTAGCTGGATATCTGGGCATGTGAGACTTCAAAATTTAATAGTCATGTTCTACCTTCACTCTACCATGCACTTGTTTAACTAGAGCCCAGTACTTCTCATAGAGACTTTTAACCTTGGGTGGTCTGTAAAGAATGTCCTTAGCCTCCTTTGAAAGATTTGGATACTTTGAAACATCGACTAGCATTGAGTAAGGACTAAAAGACCCATACTCACATGGCTTGAAAATTTTTTCATCAATTGAGAGTAGTAATTTCATCTGATCGTATTCTTTCTTTGAGACTCCAGCAGCCTCCAAATCTACCTCTTCATTTACTCTTTCAAAATCTAGGTCCTTCATGTTGCCTCTCTCTGCAATCTCTTTCTTATGATTATCATACATATCCTTTAACATAAGGTACATGTCTCTGTTTCTCATATATTCTCTCATGTTAACTATAAATTCCTTAATAATTTATCTGTCTTTATCAACAAGATAACTGGCAGTATCTCTTTTAAGTTTTCTAATCACGTTCATTATCTCTAGAGATTTAGCTACCATCATTTTTATTTAGTCATGAGACATTGGCTCCTCTCCTTCAACTTCAAGTAAATAGAAGGTCTTGCCTTTGTCCCCAGAAAACAATGATTCTTTTGTGTAATAATGAAAGTCATCGTTGACACCCGCAAATTATTTTAGATTGTTGACATAGTCTTTGTATGCCTCAATATCAAGCCCCAAATCATTTCTGGTCAGCTTCTGTAGCTTTCTCAAGTAAATATTGTATCTGAGATCGTTTCCTCTCATATGCGCAGCCTCTTTTCTGTGCTTTTCGAGTCTCTTAAATAGCTAATCGAATTTTTCCTTTCTTTGGAAAATATCTGCCTCTTCTGATTCGATATCAGTAGTCTTAGCTCCATCGTAGTCTGGAATAGCAGCATCTACAGTTGGCATACCAAGGTTGTCTTGAGCTTCAAGTTAGAGTCTTCTCTTTCTCTCCAGAATGTTCATTTGCTCTTAGATCATTCCTTTAACCTTGAAATGCGCTACCTGAGCTTTGGGCACTGGGTGCTTATAAAATTATCTTGCCATTTATTTATCAGGTCTTGGGAGTTTAGATCTGTTCCCAAATGGAGCTGGGTACTTAGGAACCATATTAAATTTATTCAAGAGCTTATTAGCTCCTAAGGTGGGAGTGGCTCCATTCTATAAAAAGCAATATTAAAATGCTTAGAATATTTACAGCAAGCCAATATTAGGTTCTTAATTGATTGAGAATTACAGCTCTCTAAACTGTCTTAGTTCTACGGGGGATCCACATTCCGATTTTCTCAAGGTATCTGCCCTTAAGGTTCTTATTGGCAGGCTGAACTACAATCCACCTATAAATTTAATTAGAAGGAGAGAAAGGAATACCAGTAGGGGTGATTACCTAAACCCTCATTTCTTAATCTAATCCTAACTCTCATCTTTAATTCTTTTATTTAAATAGTAATTTTAATATACGCTAATAAATATCTTATGGTTTAGATTAAATTATAAAAATAGAAAATGTCCATTCACTTTAACATCACAAATACTGCAATTCTACTTTCACATTAAGTCAACTAAAATCACTTGTGTCCTACAGTTAATTCGATAAATTAAGGCCACTGCGATAACAGAAGTTTGTTAAGCAAACAGACAAAAAGTGTTTATCATCATTACTGTTCGCTTACGAATCCAAACTTTTCGAAAGCATCCTTTTTAGCATTGATCTTCTTGATTCCCTCTTCTGGCAGCATCGATTCTGTTAGATCCAGTTTCACATATTTCTGATCAAAGTTACTCAAGTCATATTCAGACTAGAGTTTTGGCTTGAAAGGCGGCTCTATTTCTTTTTTTATTAGTTTTTCAAGGTCAATTCCCTTAAAGAACGGATGTCCAAGAATCTCATCAGCGTCATTCTTCTACCCTAGTCTCTTTTTCCTATCCTTCTCCAACAACTAAATTCAAAGTTAATTAATTATTGCTGATGTAAATATTGATTACCCTAGATATCAAGTCTTTAGCTTCATCTGTCACACTGATACCATGCTTTTCTTTATCTGGCCATCTGATTGGGGCGTGCTAAATCAGATAATACATCTGATGCTTATTTTTATTGTAAAATGGTGGTATACCGATGATCATTTCATATCTGATTAAAAGTTAAATTTCACATTATTTGACAATGCTTACATCAATATTCCAAGTGCCCACCAATCCAATGTGTGATCGTGTCCGGAACCGACAATCATTTCAGGAGCTATAATTAAGTTTACTAAATCCAAAGATAAATATACAGAGATACTCAGGAGTGCCGCAGAAACTGTTGGGCTCATCACCATCGATCTCGTTTATCTTGGCGAGGCCAAAATCAGCTAGCAAGATATAGCCGTCATAATTTAGTAAAATATTCTCAGGTTTCATATCGCGATAGATAATTCTAGCTTTGTGTAGATATCCAAGAGCCATTGCGACTTAAGCAGCGTAGAATCTAGTTCTGTCCTCGGTGAATCGCTTTGACTCAGACAAATGTTTAAACAATTCTCCACCCCTTTTATAGTTAATAGACAGTGTGCTTACCTGATGAAATCCATTATAAAATAGATTCTTAGTGATTTGATGAAAACGTATTCCATACTAATAATAAAAGGATGATTGACCTGTAGCAAGATCAGTTTCTCCAAATGAAGGTTTTCAAGCGAGTCATGCTCGATCACAATATCCTTTCTGATACTCTTCATAGCGTAAAATTTATTAGTTACTGTGTGTTAGACTAGATATACCTATAATACGAATCAGGTAAATTTATGACGTTAATCATTGTATATGAATTTGTTACCTTTCCAAATGTGCCTTTGCCAACAATGCTCAGAATTCTAAAATCATCAAATTTTATTTCTCCTTCTCCTGATTGTCTCTAGAAGACAGTCTGGCAATCATCAGTCTAACCCTCATCCTACAGTGGTTTCACAGTCTTGCCGTATTAAGAGCCTCTATTGCTATAAGCTCTATTTCTGTGTTCCAAATTCTTTGTATAATTATCCATGATTTCCAGAGGCTCACTTAACTATGCATCGCTAGCATCTTCTTCAATAACATCCTCCTCATAAATCCTCGCTAATTGTAGTGGAATTCTAGAAATTCCTTTTTCTATATCTTTTTCAGTTGTTGCAAATTCTCTTAACTCTTTATTTTTTATTCCATAAATAGGTAGATTTGTTTTGCTCTTTGAAGTGAAAGCCATTTTTACTGCACTGAATATCTTGTCTCTCCTACATTTAAATTTTAATTTCAGAAATTAGGAATTAGAATCTTGATTTTGAGTAGATGATGCTGGTTTATTAAGTTGAAAGATTGTTGATGACTTACCTCTCTGACTTTAGCCTATAGTCATGTTCTTTATTTACATGGAGAACGAATTCCTTCGACTGTGGGTTAAGACTTTTCGTCAACCCTATCAGTTTATCTATCGGTATTATTCTCTTCACCTCTACATAAAGTTAATGTTAATCCAACTTTTATGATAATTACTCTTTTGCTTGAAATTGTATATGTTTTCATTAGTGATTATAAGATTTCTTTCTTGCTGCCAGTTAAATTTATTGAACTTGCTAACTTTGCAGCTAGTAAGGATAATCTCTCCCTCTAAAATAATGAATGAAAACCACTTTGCAGAAATAGATTATCTTCAACAACTTACAATTCACAAAAGATTTGGTGTATTCAGGATCAAATTCGGCATTCAGTTGATCTAGATTCTCTGTATTTGATTTTTTGTCGCTATCTTTTCTTTTCTCCATAAAATTAAAAGTAGATGATATTCTAACTTTTAAATATATCAATTTATCTTGAATTAAATATCTTACTTACTTTATTTATTTCATACTTACTTCTAATTAAGTGATAAATTTTATCAAAGGGGTTTTGGGGTTTTGGGGTTTTGGGG